TTCCAATCCCCAACATCCTGTGATTCTGTAATTCAGTGGCATAAAAAGCTGTTGCTGCTCGATGGCTGGTTATTTATCTCTCCAAAAGCCAGAAAGGACCATTGTGGTTCTTTAGCTTTACCTTCTGCAGAGCCCAGAGTCCCACCTCAGCCATCAAACCTCCATTTGTTGCTGAGTGAAGGCATCTCTCCCCATTTAATATCTTGTCAGGTTGCAACCAGGTGGCTGTCTGACCAAACTCCACTGCTAATCATCAAGCCATGATTTCCAGTCAGCTACCCACCACCCAGAGCATCCCTCCCAGCTCTGGGTGACTGACAGCAGCAGTCCCAGTGGGGTCACAGTGTCAGGTCTGTGCCAGTGAGGTCCTGGTGTTGAGAGGAGAGATGAGGCCAGTCTGTGTTCATCAGACAGCAGCACCAATCCTCTCCTGGAGGCCACTGGCCTGGGCTGAGTTTAAGGTTGGCAACGAGTGGTGCCAACATGATGGTGATGGGCTGTGTCTCCTTCACAGAAAACTTTTGAGCTTGAACGGCGAGAGCTGCTGGACAACAACAAGAAGAAGTGGGAGGAAGCCATCCAGGCCCACAAGACACAGGAGGTAAGGTCCATGATTTAGACTCAAAGAATCATTTTGGTTGGAAAAGACCTTTAAGATCATCAAGACCAACTGTTAACCCAACACTGCCAAGTCCACTACTAAACCATGTCTCTAAGTGGCACATCTACATGTCTTTTAAATACCTCCAGGGATGGGGACTCCACCACTGCCCTGGGCAACCTGTTCCAAGGCTTGACAACCCTTGTGGTGAAGAAGTTTTTCCTCAGATCCAACCTAAACCTCGCCTGGTGCAACTGGAGCCCATTTCCTCTTGTCCTGTCCCTTGGGCCTTGGTTGAACAGACCCACCCCCACCTCTCTCCACCCTCCTCCAAGGGACTTGCACAGAGCCACAAGGTCTCCCCTCAGCCTCCTTTGCTCCAGGCTCAACACCCCCAGTTCCCTCAGCCACAAGGGAACTCAGCACACTTGTGCTCCAGACCCTTCCCCAGCTCCGTTCCCTTCTCTGGACACGCTCCAGCACCTCCATGTCCTTCGTGGAGTGAGAGGCCAAAGGCTGCCAGGACCATTGCAGTTCTCCAGCACTCCAAGCTGCCTTGAAAGACACATGTGCATGAAGGCAGCTGGTTCCTCAGGAGTGTTGGGGGCAGAGGGGCAGCTTTTCAGCCTGCTCTGCAGGGAAGTTACCCATGCATGACCTTGCTTTGGGCTAGCCAAAGGAGCTGTGATTGCAGGAGGAAGCTTTCAGCATTGATGAATGATGTTCTCCTTTTGCCCATAGCTGGAATACCTGCATGCCAGTATGAAGAAGGTGGAAGAGTTTGAGAAACAGCTGAATCAGCTGCGGCTGCAGGATGGAGAGAAGTATAACAGCATGAAGATCAAGCTGGAGAATGATGTGCAGGTACAGAAAAGGCAGGTGTATGCCATGTGGGGAGGAAGTGAAGCAGATCTCCCTGGGCTTTTCTGTGTGTAGCTGGCTCTCTGGGGTAGCTAGACAGTGTGAAAGCTGCAGCAGGTATCTGGTCACCTCAGCTCTTCAGCATGCACCATGTCAACAGGGTGATGGAGCTGTTGTTCTCTCCTTTCCATGGGTCCTACACCACAGTGTCCATCTGCCCCTGTCTCTCAGAGGTCTGTAGCACATCAACTGTAGCTCTAGGATGTGTAAAGCACCTTGGAAGGTCAAGGGGTTTGCTACTTCTAGCATCATGACTGAGAGAAGGATTGAATAGTGTGAGTGTCCTGACACCAGATCATTTCAGATCAGCCCAACTTCCTCCTTTATCAGGGTCCTTGTTCTAGGTGGTGTGAGTTTTTTCCTCTGACATCTATCTAGTCATAAACCCATGATCTCGTAGCTTCCCTGAGATACAGAAACCTTTGAATCCACTGCACTGTCTGTGAGCAGCAACATCAACAAAGCAACATCAACAAAGTGTCTGTGGCTCTTTGCAATCACAGCGAATCACAGAATCACAGTGGTTGGAAAAGCCCTTGAAGCTCATGGAGTCCAACCATGAACCCAACACTGACCAGTCCCCTGTGACTAACCCATGTCCCTCAGCACTGTGTCTACACGACTCTTCAATCCCTCCAGGGATGGGGACTCCACCACTGCCCTGGGCAACCCCTTCCAATGCCTCAGAACCCTTGCAGCAAAGAAATTCTTCCTCACATCCCATCTCAACTGCCCTGGCCACAACTGGAGCCCATTTCCTCTTGGCCTGTCCCTTGGGCCTTGGTTGAACAGACCCACCCCCACCTCTCTCCACCCTCCTCCAAGGGACTTGCACAGAGCCACAAGGTCTCCCCTCAGCCTCCTTTTCTCCAGGCTCAGCACCCCCAGTTCCCTCAGCCACAAGGGAACTCAGCACACTTGTGCTCCAGACCCTTCCCCAGCTCCGTTCCCTTCTCTGGACACGCTCCAGCACCTCCATGTCCTTCTTGGACTCAGGGGCCCAACACTGAACCCAGCACTCCAGCTGTGTTGTTTCCCAAGCTGCACGGTAGAAACAGGTCGTGTTGCACTTGGACTTTAGTAAGACTCATTGTTTGTCCCATGGGATCTCCTCCTAGGAAGCTCAGGGAAACAGGGACTAGTGTCAACATCTAGAAGGTTTTGCACAACTTCAGGTGAATTATTCCTGTCAGCCCGAAAGGACAAAGTCCTTGTGAGAGGGCACTCCTGACTCTGCGGTTTCTTTACCTTCATCTTGATGACCTGGAAGGTGACAGGGAGTGTGTAACGTTTGCAGGTGGCTCTGAGCTGTTTGGGGAGGGAGCCAGCAGCACACTGGAGATCAATGTTCACAGACAGCCATGGGGGGCTGCTGTAAAAATGCACCTGCTGCCTTTAGCTGTAGCTGTGGGAGGATTTGTACACCAGGCAGGGGAGGTAATTATTCTTCTTTATTTTATACCTGTGTGTCCTTGTCCAGGTTCTTGGGAACAGGGGAGAGAGTCTGGAACAGACCAAGTAGACAAATAACCCCTAAGAAAAGGTTGAAAAGCTGGAGCTGCTTAAACGAGGGAAGAGATTTCTACAGGGAGGTGCTAAGTCTACAAAGAGGCACAATTCTGTAGGATGGAGGAGGAGAATGACTTCTTCTCTGTGTCCACTCAAGAAAAAATCATGGGGTTGAGTTTTGGGAGGGAAGATTTAAACTGGTATTCAGATTTAAGGTTGACCTGTTCAGACACTGGAACAGGTTGCCCAAGGAAGTTGTGGCTGCTCCTCCCTGGAAGTGTTGAAGGCCAGGTTGGATGAGGCTTTGAGCAACCTGGTCTAGTGGAAGGTGTCCCTGCTGCTGGCAGGGGGGTTGGGACTGGATGAGTTTAAGGTCCCTTCCAACCCAAACCATTCTGTGATTCCATGATTCTATGAAATTTCAAGCTAGGAATGCCTAAAGGACTTGCTTGCTGGTTAGCTAGAGTGGCTGTGCCCTTGGTTTGCTGCTCTTTGACACAGGGTTTTAGGAGCAGCTTAAATCAACTTCTGCTGAGGCTGATTTGGTGAAGTTGTTCCCTCTGTGGGGTGGAGGGATGAAGTTGATGTCCTCCTGGTTCCCTTGAGCTCTGCAGTTGTGTAACTCTGTATAACATAGATTTCACCCTTCCACTTCAGGGAGAATAAGAGAAGAGAGATTTTCCTGAAGAACCTGTGATAGTCTTGTCCTGAGGTATCTCTGAAACAGGAGCTTAGCCAAGACCTAAACATGAAGTCTGTGGTTTGGGAATGATTGAGTCCTCCCCAGTTTCACTAGATGGGAATCAGCATTTTAAATAGAGAGTTTGGGCCATCTTCTTCCTCCATCTGCTTCAAGGAGAAGCTCCCTTGAGACCCTGCTGGGTTTTGCCTCTGTCTTTTCTCCAGTCAAGCTTTGATCTTAGCCAGGTGGGACAGCTTCTGGGTGTCTTCCCTAGTTGTTTGTACACTCCTTGTTGTATGTAGGACCACCCAGGAGAGCTCTGAGCCAGCTAACCCAGTTACCAATGTCCTCTTCCCTGCTTCTAGCCTACAGCTCAGGACTCTTTACCTGCCCTCAGAGACCCCCCCTGTGCTGAGAGGAAGCCTGAGCCCCTGATGGAGACCTCACTGGGTCTCTCTGCTGTGCAGACTGCCACGTCTATCACTGATGCTGTAATTTGGGGCCATGCAGTGGCTCAATTCCAATCACTTCCTATCATAGAAGTCTGTATGGGCTCCCCAACAAAGCACTGTATGATGAGATTTTGTGATTTTACCAGATTTCTGCCTCCTTTTGCACATGGAAAACACTCAGAGTAATGAATGAAACCATGCCAGGCCCAGACACCACCTCTCACTCATCATGTCACCAGCTCCTGGAGTTTTCTAAGCCACTGTGTCCTCCTGAGGTCACTTCCCAAAGAGCTGCAGGGCTGGCAGAGAGCAGGAATCATCATTAAGGTGTGATGCCTCCCAGCCCAGAGCAGCAGCTCCAAGGACCTGGGAAGTGGCTTTTCCTTTCCATCAGCTGTTGAGCAAGCAGGGTGCTAGGAAGGTGAGATGTCTCCATTGCAGATGTCTTCTCCATTGCAGATGTCTCCTCTGTTGCAGCTGCAAAGCAAAGGGGAGAACTCACTGCCTCTCTCATGTTCCTCACGCTACTCAGTGAGACATTGCCATCACAAATGCTTCAGTTCTTTGTTTTGTTCTGGTTTCCTGAAGATCTAGAGTTCATGTGGTCACTCTTCCTGTGTGTCCCTTCCTCCAGCTTGCCAAGTAACTTCAGAGCCTCTTGGTTAATTCAGAGACATGCAGTTCCTAAAACTGACATGACAATCAGCAGCCAGGTTGAGGAGAGAGGCCCAAATTGATGCCCCACTGAGTGAAAGTGGGGTTACAACTTCAGTAGCATGTACTTATGGACAACCAGCATCTCCATCACTTACCCAGGAGCAATGCCATGTGGCCAGGGGTGAGCTGGGGAAATGGACATGGGAAGATGAGGTTTGGAGATGCAGGATCAGTAGGATCCAGGCTTCAGTGTGGCTTTTGCTCAGGGTTCAGCTTGTTTTTGTGTTTTTTGAAATGCCAGAACCTGGAGAGGCAGCTCCAGCAGGCGAAAGCCGTCTATCAACTGAACCAGGAGAAGCTAGAGTACAACCTGCAGGTACTTAAGAAGCAGGATGAGGAGAACACCATCATCAGATCCCAGCAGAAGAGGAAGCTCAACCGGTAAAAATCCATCCCTAGAAGATGGGTTCTGCCTTACTTGCCATCACCTCCCATATGCTGGTTTTTTTTGGAGCTCATCACCTAGCACAGGCCAAGGAGCTCTGTCCCAACCCATCCCTTGGCAGGGGCAGGGGTTAGCCCAGGACAGGACCATTCCCAGAGCACTTTGAGTAGGCTGGCCATGGCCAACCTGTGCCAGCTGCATCAGGGTCAGTCAGGCCTTGGCACTGAGTAGTCACTAGTAGAGAAGCAGCTCCAAGTCCCAAAGCCTTCCTACAAGCTGGATATGCCCAAAGGTGCCTCTTTGGTGATGCCCAGCCTTGCTGTCTCTCTCCAGGCTCCACACCTTGCTCAGTAACCTGAGAACAAAACTGGCCAACCAAGAGAAGCAGCTCCGAGAGGAGAGCCAGAGCCTGGCAGTTGACCTCGAGCGCATCACGGGGCAGTGCAAGGAGGTGCAGAGGAGGATGAGGTGGGGTGTGCGCGGGCATCCACCCACAATCAGGTCTCAGAGCACCTGAGTGAGGTGCTGGGGGAGCTGACTCCTCATTTTGAGGCACAGATCCTCCTTCCATGGTCCATCTCCCTTGTGCACAGGCACTTTGCTGTCAGCGACGTTGAGAAGTTCACAGAGGTCTGGCTTATGAATGAGGAAGAAGCCAAAGGGCTGATGCGAGAAGCCCTTGATGCAGATCGCATCATTCACACCCAGCAACTGGGGCTTCACTGGGAAGAGCCTCATTACTGGTTCCTCAACAACGTTGGCCCCCTCGGGCATTCCAAAGCAAAGAGGATGGCGACCAAGCTGGCTGTGGAGGTCCTGACAGGTGAGATGCTTGTCACCCTCGTAGCACTAGGAGACCCTTCACCTTTCTCCATGGCAGCCCCTTTCTGTCACTCTTCTCCTTGCCATTGCAAGGTGGGATCTTACAGGGGTGACATTGTGAGGCCAGAGAGGGGATCTTGGCACTGTACTTTGCCCAGTGCTCCCAGTTCCAGACAAGATGACCAAGAGCCATCTCATGTCCCAAGCTCTTTAAGGTGCTTTCTAGGTCTCAGGGAACAATTGTGATTTCCTTGATGGCTCCTGCAGTGATGTGACTGGAGAGCTCACCCAAAGCTCACTCTTCTTTCTCCATGCTTCAGAGAGTGGCTCTGAGGAACAGGAGGAGGAAGGGAGAGAGAAGGAGAAGGAAGAAGTGGGCAGTGGAGAAGGAGGAAAAGAAAACACAGCAAAAGTTGAGGATGGAGTCACACCTCTGCAAAATATCTCCAAGAGGACAGCCAAGAGGATCCTGGAGCTCGTGAGCGATGAGTCGGTGCGTGATGACATGGCCTTGATCAGGGAGCAGGCGTGATGTCCCCTGGTTGCTCCAGTTTGTACTGGATCTCTTCTGAGCTCCACATCTTGGTGTAAAGTCTTCTGCATGGTGCTGCCTTGCTATGCCAGGAAGCCTGTTGTCAAAGAGGAGGCTGAGAGAAGATCTCCAGGTCTTCCACTCTGTGTGTGTGGCACATATATGATGCTAAATAAAAGGTATTGGCAGGCAGAGCCCCGTTGCCCAAATCCACAGCTCCCCAGGCCAGAACAAGCACAGGCCAACCTGCTGCATCTGATGCTCCAGGCTCTTCCCTGTCTCTGGGGACAGTCAGCAAGAGCTTCCTGAGGTCCTTTAGGTAATCACCACCCTGATGACTTTTATCTTCCCTGTCTGCTGGGTGGCTATTCTAGAGCCTCCTGGTCCTGCTGGCCTCACGCTGCCCAGTCACTGCCCACCCTCCCCACTCAGCCCAGCCTGCTGTCACAGGATGGCATCGCCACAGCATGGCATGGGCTGGCTTCTGGGCAGGGACAGAGACACTTGCACCTCTGCACCCTCTCCTCTGCATGTGCAAGGTCCTGCACTTGGGTCAGGGCAAC